GCTGATGACTTCTGGTGAAAGAGGCGTCAACTTGGTAACATCCTGTATGAGGGAGATTTTAGAATTTATTCATCTTGTACCTGAATATTTATAGAGTACTATTTGTATTTTCTTAAAAATTATCCACTAGTTCTATTCAGGAAAATTCAGCTAAGCTCATTAAACTAATTCTAGACAGGCATTACAGTCTTGGGTATGTGAAATAGGACAAAAAGTAAACAATATCCTGACTGTAAATCAGTATAAGTTGCAAATCAAGACACTGACTGGAAATCAGTATAGGCTACAAGGAGTTAAAAATGGAAGTAAACAAAAGAAAAAACTCTTAAAAGAAGTTCTAAAGCCAAAAAAAACCCCCTCCTTACCTACTCCCACACTTAAATTACACATAACACGCAAATTCAAATTAACTTTCCATGGGCTACATAGTGAACTGTATCTATGTTTTAAAAACACAGTCTTGTCAATAAAGAGTTCTTTAATTGACATAAGGTTCCACTGCAGTCAGTATACAATTATAACTACACTTTGGAGTCAGTAGGTCCAGAGATCTCATTAGCACCATATATTTTAATTTTGGTTTTTGAAATGGCTACTTTTTCCTCAAATACTGTTATTGCTACTTTAGGTATCAGACAAAAATTCTGCTGTGCTAAACAGACTGTTGCATGAATCTACTGGTAGTACCTGGCAAATCAAAACACTTACAAATGCATTCCATATAGTTAAAAAAATAACTCCCAATGAGTTGTTTTGGTTTTTTTAAAAGCTGTTTTTCCAAATACTGGACAAATGTTGAAATCCACTGAAATGTTCCTCTGTACTATTTTTGAAACTGTTTACGGTTAATTTCCATCCTGCACTGAATTCATCTGGATGAGGTGCTCAGCTCAAGCAAAGATCCACAACACCAAAAGAGTCCTCAGTGCAGGACAGGATATAAATATTTTGCTAAAATACAAACAACATGCGCACATTAACTGACATGAAATCATATACTGTTTACGCTGTTACACGCAGGTTCTGTATATAACAATCATAGAATCATAAACGCATCTGTGTAAAAATGTAAGCTCACTCATTCCATTATCAAGTATAACATGAATAAAATGTTCACGTTCAATACAAACCAAGTTTTGTCCACCTAACAGAGGCAATTACATTTGTATTTCTCGAGTATCAAACACCACTACGGACACTGAAGTGAACGATGAGAACGTGACCTGGAGATGGCACCATCTAGTAGGGTGAGAAGCACGTAAGCATGATGCAAATCCTGTCATCAGGAGAAGTGTTCCTGGTGCACACAATTATGCACGCATGCAATTTTTTCCGCGAGACTGGTATAAGGCTAAGTTCAGCTATAAGCTCCAGCCAACTGCAAGCATTCAAGGGCCAACTGAAAAAGTGCAGAACAGTCCTTACAGGTAATTCCTACTGACCTCCCAACTAGGCCTACCTGTGCGCTTTCCGACAGGCAAATGCCATGGCCAACAACGAAAGCAAGTAAAGAAACTTTCTGAAATTACTAACATGCTTCACTAGTGAATGCCAACATGCTTAGCCAGAACACAAAAAGAATTCTTGTGCTCAAACCCCAAAATATCAAACATTATCGCTGTAAAGACAAACAAGCTCCTCTAGTTTGCTGAAAAACAGGGGAGCAACACCAGGATTGTCAACGGGTTTTGCCTGCATGTACACGTAATACGTGAGACAGCCCAGGCGAGACATTTACCAGGCAAGACTACCATGGCAGCCGATTTTCTTTGCAGTCAAGAAAATGTTCCTGGTAGACCAACCAACACAGGGCTGGCAACCAACCCATCTGTCCCACTCGGGAAACAGAAGGCCAATTCACGGCTCCGCTTCGGAGAAGGAAGGGCCCTTAACACCACCGCCAG